GTCCCACATTCCTTCCGTCCTTCACTTAACAAATATTTATGGAGAATCTACCATGCACTATATACTGTTTGTTCAAGGCACGGGGGGTGAAGCTGTGGAAAAACCAGACAAGGTTCCTAGGCTCAAGGATCTTATGTCTGTCAGGAGACAGACAACAGAAGCACATAAACAAATAGACACACGATGCCAGGTTTGAAAAGTGCTACAAAGGAGATAAAACAAGGAACTGTGGTGGAGTGAACAGTTGGACTGCTTTAGCGGGCACATTCTGAGAAGCTTTTAAAAGGAAACCTTTGAGCAGAGACCCGAATGAAGTAAGGGGGTGAGCTATGGAGATGTCTGAGGGAAGAATGTTCTTGCAGAGGAAACAGTCAACGCAAAAGCCCCGAGGGAGAAGTGTATTTAGTATATTTGAAGAAGAGCAGGCGGCCACGTGACTGAAGCACATAATCACGGGGAAGAGGGGTGGGAGAGGGGCTGGGGCAGGGGCAGATCACGGGGGCTTCACAGCACCAGGTAAGGACTGGGTTTCAGTGTGTGTGTGACGGGAGTATGGACAGGTTGAGCCTTCTCTACGGCCCATTCCCACTGCTGTGTGGAGAACGGGTTAGGGGAGGAAGGGGACAGAGTAAGAACAGGGAGACCGGTCAGGAGGCCACTCTCTCACCCAGATGTGACACACGAGAGCAGCGTGGATAGGCTGACAGTGGTGGAAGAGACAAAAGTGGATCTGATTCATGTACATATTTTAAGAGTAGATTCGTGTAGACATAAATCACTGAGAACATGAGAGGAAAAAAGATGTCAAGGATGATACCAAGGTTTTAGCCTGAGTAACTCAGAGCATGAAGGTGCCATTGACCGAAATGAGGAAGACAGGGAAGGAAGGAGGTTTGGACACCACTGGGCTGCCATGAAGACCACATTAGATCGTACAAGTAAAGCCCACGGCAGGGACTCGCACACAGCCAGAGCTCAGGAAATGATGCTTGTCCTTTTCCCCAGTTTCATTGGTTCCTTCTGCTAGAATTCAAGTCTCTCCTTTCCCAAAATAATTCCTCATCAATAGGGGAAACTGGGGCTACAGAAACTTGCATTTTCTGTAAATCTAAAACAATTCTAAAATAAAAAGTTTAACAATAATTTCTCGACCCCACGTCCTCTTCCAGCTCCCACTCTCTTCATAGAGACAGCCATCCTCTGTCACACCTCATTTATTCATCACCGATGACCTCACCGCCCAATCCAACGGACTCCTCCATCATTCCCTCTCACAGCCTTTGACACCTGACCATTCCTTTCTCCCTGAAGCGCTCTCCTCGCTGGACTTGGAGACACCGCCTTCTCCTGGTTCTCCTCTGTTTCTCCGGCTCCTCCTCTCAGCCTCCTCTGCTGTGGCTTCTTCATTTACCCACCCCTTAAATGCCGAGCTTCTATCCTTGGACCTCCTCTTCTCGGGCTATATATTTCTCTGGATAAGATCCACCTCGGCCATGGCTTCAACTACAATCCCTACCAGTGGCTATTAATCTTCCAGATGGCCACAAACCTCTCTGAATCTGACGTTCTCGTACACACGTGCACACAACAGAACCACACACACACACTCTTGAGGATGCAATGTTAGGAGGCTTGAAGTTGCCCTTCCCCAGAAAGTACATCCGAGGATCTCTGAGGACTATCTGAGCCCAGGGGAGGACCCTGCTCTATCACAACAAAGAGGACTCCCACGTCTCTATCCCAGATTTCCCCTCTGAGCCAATATTTCCAACTGCCTACCTGACATCTACACCTAGATGACCCATGAGTGCCTCAAACTGCACATATCCCAAACCAAACTCCTCACGTCTCTCCCCTCTTAGCTGCCACTGCCACGACCACCACTTCCTCTTCCTGGGTGCCCAGTCTCTCTTGGTAGAACAATCAGCACCCAGTCAATTCAGCCAGAAACCACCTGGGAGGCACCTTGGCCTCCCCTTCCTCTCCTGAACAGCCAGTCAATCTCCAGATCCTACCTCTCAAACCTCTTGTAAAGTTGAACCCTCAGCTCTCTTGCCTCCACTCTGACCCTCACACTTTTCTCCTGATTATCTCAACAGTCTAGCCTTCTCGTTCCTCTAATCCACCCTCCCCTTGGCTGGAGAGGTCTTTCTGAAACGCTCCTCTGCCTTAATCGCCTCAGGGACACCTTCCATCCCCTTCAGGAGGAAGTGCTCGTGCTTTGACACGGCCCTAAGGCACTGCACAGAACGGGCACTGCCAGCCTTGCCATCCTCACTGCTCACTGCCTTCCCCCCCAAATATACTCTAGCAATTCGCTACTCCTTGGGGTGCCTCGTGCTCTTCCTCCCTTCACACCCCTGCACACGCAGGTGCACACTCTGCTATAACACATACCCAACCTACCTTGTCACGTGGGGAACTCCTATGTACCCCTCAAAGTGAGCTGGGGCAGTCCCCCCTACCTCAAACCCCTCCCACACCATTCTGGACCTTCTATTACTGTTCTTCCCTAGTGGAAGAGTTGCAATGATTCTTCCCACGTCTGTTTCCCTCTTTACATGAAGAGTTCTGGTAGGGTGAGGTCCACAGACTGCTCAACTTTGAATCCTCGGATGCTAAGCGGCACATAATAGGTACCACATAAATGTTTGCAGAATTAAAGTGACCTGTTCCCAGAACACACCTCGGGCCCTCACCTCCGGGTCTTTGCTCTGACCCCTCACTCTCCTCATTTTCTACTTCAATCCATCAAGAAGCAGGTTCAGACTCTCAAGCTCACCACATCTCCAAATGATCCCACCTCAGGGTCTTTGTACTTGCTGTTGCCCTTCCAGAATGCTCTTGCCCCAGATATTCCCATGACTTGCTCTCTCATGTCAACCAAGTTTCTGTTCTGATATCCTTGTCCTCCTTTAAAAACAGTCCTGACACTACATTCTATATCTGTGTGCTTGCTGCTGGTAGTGTTCTCCATAGGAACGCCGGTTCAATGAGAGCAAACCTGTCTCATTCACCACTGTATCCCCAAGCCTATAACAGTGCCAGAAATGTGCATTTATTTCATATTTACCGAGCACCTACTGTGTGCCAGGTCTAGGTGCTGGGGATACATCAGGGAACAAACAGATGAAAATCCCCCGTTCACATGCTAGAGGGAGAAAACAAACAACACACGAGATAAGTAAGTAAAACATAAGTGCTAAAGAAACCAACTAAAGCAGTAAAGGAAGACAGGAAGCGCGGACAGCCTCACCAGGTGACCCCTGAGTAAAAACCTGGAAGAAGTCAGAGTGTAAACCACAAGGATATTGAACTGCAAGCACAAAGGCTCTGAGGTCAAAGCATGCCTGACACGTGGAAGGGGAGAGCAGCTGAAAATAAGAGTGGGGAAGTAACAGTGGGTCAGATTATGTAAAGTCTTATAGCTCACTGTAAGGAGTTTGTCTTTAAATGAGACGGGGACCCACTGGAGGATTTTTTGAGGAAAGGAGTGATATGATCTGACATGTTTTAAAAGGATCCTTCTAGCTGCTGTGCTGAAAATAGGGGCCAGGGCAAAAGCAGAGACCAAACAGGAGACTATTTCAATAATCTAGGCGAGAGATGGTGGTGACTTAGCCCAGGGTGGCAAGCACTGGACGTGGAGTCACAAAGAAAGAGAGCAGTCAAGGATGAGTCAAAGGAGCCTTTTCTATCACCGAGATGAGAAGAAAAACAGCAAGAAGGGCGGTTTGGGAAGGGAGATGGAGGGGAGCTTGCTAGCCCTATCTTGTCACGTTCAGTTTGAGCTCTCTATCAACCATCTCAGTGGAGATATTAAGTCGGCAGCTGCATGTAGGTCAAAGGAGGGGCCCACGCTGGAGACATAAATATGACATGTTAGCCTAATATATAAGTATTTAAAAACGATGAGCCTCGATGAGATTACCATAATGAAAAATGAAAACGTTCCAAACACAAATGCCCACAGGAGAAGAGTGGAAAGAAAGAAAAGCTACGATGCCCAAGGACAGCCTCTCACGCCTCCAGACAGAATACAAAGGTGACCCCTTGTTCATGCTGAAAAACATTTCGGCCAAAGCAAAAACAACAAAACGTCCTTCTCACACCTGACACAGGGGCAAACCCAGACCAGCGGCTCTGCCAACGGGTCGTCTAAACTTTGATCGAAGACGCCTGCGGTCGGCCCCGCAATTTTTTTAAAGAGAGGCCCCGTAAACTTGGGCGCTGCCTTTGCAGGGGATAGGGTGCAGTGAACCCAGAGAAGGCGCGGGCCACCTCCAGTTTCTAATCACTAGCATCTCCCCGGGCGAGAGGAGCAGTCCCCTGGACGCCGGCAGAGGAGACAGGTCAAGGGTTGGGAGAGGCTCGCAGGGTCGTCAGCCTCGCCCCAAAGAGCCCTTCCCTCGGAGGGCAACGCCTCCCGACACGATGCAGCCCGGGGTAGGGGGGAGCGAGCCGGCAGGGCGCGGTGACCAGGCGGAGCGCTGTGATGGGGAGGGTGGGCTCGCACGTGGGGGCGTGACGCGCAGCGGCTGAGCGTGACAGGGGGGAGAGGAGTCGGGAGGCCCAGGCTCCGCATCCAGAACGAGGGCAGAGAGAGGCCTCCCGGCGCGCGGCCGCGCTGCGATGGGGGCGGCTCGCCAAGGCGCCCCGTCGCCGGCGTCAGGCAGGCCCGGCTGCCATGAGGAAAACGGGAAGTGTGAGCAGCATGGCTCCGAGTGTGGGGACCCGGCTCCGCCCACGTCGAGGCCCCGGGTTCAAGGGCAAGTCCTGGGTCGAAGGGCGCGCCCACAGCCACCCTTACCTGGCCCCTGCAGCCGCCTGCGCCACTCAGTCCCGGCTGGAGAACGCGGCCGCCGCTTCTCGCGCCGCTCGCCCGCGCTTCCTGATTGGCCGCGGCCGGCCGCTCCCAGAAGCCCCCGCGCGGCGCGCCGCCGAATGAACTTTATGGAGACCCGTGGAGAAGGACAAGGACGTGGGCGGGGCTGGGGGCGGGGCCTGCGGCTGACCTGTCACTCACGGTAGGCCCGCGGCCACCGCCCTCACCCCTCCCACGTGGTTAGAGACGGCTGTGCTCGCAGCAAGCGATTCCACAACTGCGTGTGCGGATTTCTTACCCGTTATTGAATACGAACCTAGTGCTTAAGCGCGATTCCAGGCGCTGGGGGCACAGTGGCGACCACGACAGTCAAGATCCCTGCCCTAATGGAGTTCTCAGGCTGGTGGGGGAAACAAAATATAATAACTGCCAGTTTGTAAGGAGAGCTAAGACGAAAAAAGCAGGGTGATGGAAAAGAGAATGCCTGTGTGGTCAGGGAAGGCCTCCCTGAGGAGGTGAGTCTGAACTGAAACATGGCTGATGAGAAAGAGTCAGCCTTGCAAAGTCGTGGCTGCAGAACATTCCAGGCAGAGGGAACGAGAGTGAAGGCTCCTCAGGGAAACAAACGGCGTTTGAAGAATAGAAACAAGGGTCGTATGGCTGGCAGAGGATGAGTGAGGACAGGTGTGGAGAGACAGTTAGCTGGGGCCAGACTTTGCAGATCCTTCAGGCCATGGAAAGAAAGTCATGCAATGGAAGCCGCTGGAGGGTTTGAAGCAGAGCAGTGATGGATGGAGAATGGACAGCAGGCAGCAGAGAGGCGGTAGGAGACTCCTGCTTTGTCCAGCACAGAGAGCTAGTGGGACCAGGATTGTTGCAGTGTCCACTCATGCAACATACGTTAGTGCTCACAACATGCCAAAATGAATATGGCCCAGTTCTTATGGTCTGGTGAGGAAGCAAGTACATAAACAGATTGCATTTCAGTTTAATGTGCTAAGTGCACGACAGAGCTATGTAAGGGTGCTAAGTGGGTTTAACCCAGTTTGATGGGTTGGAAGTGAAGGAGGCCTTCCCATAAAGATGAGTAGTGTTTAGCCTGGCAAAGAGAGAGGGGAAGTTTTTCCCGGTCTAGGGAATGGAGTAAGCAGAATGGAGAGGAGAGGAGCAGTGCTCTGCCCACCCTCACCACATCCTTCCTCTACCCTCTGACAAAGATTCCCTCCTTGACAGAACTCTAGCCAGGCTCCTCTGAGCCCTTTTCTCTTCTAGGCCTCAACCTTGGTCTATAAAGACTTGAACAAAACACTAAGATAGTTTCTAATAGCTCAAGGCCACCTCCCTAGGTGACCCTAGCCCCTCTTAAAGTACCTGCCTGAGAAAACTCAAGGCTGCCAAAAGAATTTAGTTTGTTCCAGCCAACACCTGAAGATGGGGCCCCTGTCTCCCAGCTTCTGTGGGAGGGTAGGAGCCTAACTTCAACGAGCAGCAATAGGCAAACCCAGATAGGTTTGATGTGGACCAACACCTCCTCCCTTTCTGTAATTTTTCACTTCCCTGACTCCGTGTAGCTCACCCCTCTCCCTGTTCTCTCATTCTCCCTTTGAAATGCCCGGTCCCCTCTGTAGAAATCAAAGTTGAGTTCAGTTCATGCTGGACTCTTTTCCCTATTGCAACAGTATATTACTGATTAAAATATGGCCTCACCACTTTATCTAGTATCCGCTTTGATTGTCTTTTTTAAAATTTATTTGTGTGTATTTTTTCGGCTGAGGAAGATTGGCCCTGAGCTAACATCTGTTGCCAATCTTCCTCTTTTTTTGCTTAAGGAAGATTAGCGCTGAGCTAACATCTGTGCCAATTCTCCTCTATTTTTTGTATGTGAGATACCTTCACAGCATGGCTGATTAGTGGAGTAGGTCACACCCAGGATCCCAACCCACGAACCTGGGCTGCCAAAGTGGAGGGTGCCAAACTTAACCACTTGGCCACAGGGCCAACCCCCAGCTTTGTGTATCTTTAACACTTCACACTGGCATATTGTGGGTTCTGTATAAATTATTGGTGCTGATTGACAATATGTATGAGTGTGGCTTTGTCCTACAGCTGTTAAATATGCATCATCTGTGGTCAGATGGTATTCACAAATATAATAGCATCTTGCATCTGTGTAATGTTTTATCCTTTTACCTTGCTTTTTCCTTTATGTAAAGAAGAATTTTTAATGACATAGACAAATACTCATGAATCATAGCCAAATGAAAAATTGGACATTTACCTTTTAAAGCTGAATATTTCCATATTGTAAAGCCCAGCAATTCTGCTCCTAAAAATGTACCCAAGAGAAACTCTTATACACGTGCAGCAGGAGACGTTTGAAAGAATCTCCATAGCAGTGTAGTCCTTAACAGCAAAAAAAAAAAAAAAAAAAAACCCAAAAAACAGATGTCCATTAATCAAAAAAAAAGATAAATAAATTGTGAATATTATCACAATGGAATATTACACAGCAGTGAAAAATGAGTGTGCTATAGCTACGAATGCAACATGGATGGATCTTGGAAGCATAACATATGGAAAAAGCAAGTAACAGAAGACTATATAGTATAGTATAAGCTCAAAATTTCTAATAAATTTAAAAAGCAAGTAAAATCAAACAATATATTCTTTATACATAGATACATTTGTGATAAAACTATAGGACATTAGAATGATAAATAGGAAGTTTAAGATTGTAATTATCTCTGGGGATAAGAAGGGATATGGGGAGGAAGACCTGGAAAGCTGTAGGTACTGGATATTTCTAGTTCTGGGGCAGGTAGTTGGTTCATAAGTGTTGATTATATTGTTATTATTATATATACATTATATATAAATAATTTTGTATGTATAAAATATTTTCAAATAATAAAGGAAGAAAATGCCCAAAACGAGGAAAAAAGCAGAACAAAATAACTATAATTTCAACTTTGCTAAAAATACACATTAGAGAGAGAGAGAAGGAAATATGGTAAAATGGGAACAGATTCTCTCCTGGGTATTTGAAACCACAGGCAAGCCCTTAAAAGCTAGTGCTGTTTTCAGAGTTTCTGCAGTGAAATAACCATGCATTACTCTCATAATCAGAAAAAATAATGAAAACTTGTTTTGTCATTTCGCTTGCACAAGAGTTAAAACAAACATCAGCTTCCCAATATTTACCCAGGTATGTAATTCAAAGGATTTCCTCTAAGGATTCCAAACTGAGCTCCAACCACGGTCCTTAAACCACCTTTTTGTCTAAATGGCACAAAGAGAGGAGTCTCTTTCTCCTGATGACAAGGTCTGTATCAGTGTGATTCTTGGGGCTGTTTCTGTCTGTCTCTTAGTTAACTGTACAGCTTAAAGTATTTTCTCAAACATCAGTTTTAACTGAGCTCAGACCCTGCCAAGCACTTCTGTCTAAAGATTGTTCTGTAATGTGTTCCAGGGTCCCTGTAAGACCTGCGCTTTCTCCCTGAGTTGGAGAATTGCATGGTCTTTCCTACTTAAAAGAGGGCTAATCCTTAACTCCTTAACTCCACCAGTTTGGCCTGTTGGTTTCCAAACATTCTCTTGGAACCTTTTTTTCAAAGGAAATCTTTGGTGGAGCACTTATATATGATACAGATTTTTCGTGTCTTGTATACACGCCAAGTGTATAACTTTACCTTTTCTGCCTACATAATCATCTTAAACAAATGCAACTCTGTGTACTCTTGTTTGGTTGAATTGTGGCGTTTTTGGATATTCTTAGTCTTCAGATTAACTCATTAAGTATGTGGGACGTGCGTCCCGTGCAGTAGACTGTATTACCGCACAGTGGGTCTCCAGTGGACATCCGCTGCTCAGCACCCTCTGGGGACCTACCCTTCCCCTGCTCTCAGTCCCTGTATTTTGATTGGTGGCGTATGACTCAGGCGTAGCTGATCAGAGCACTCCAGTACCTTTGCCACGGGGGCTGGGTCAGGGATGGGGCTATGATTCAACAGAGTCAAGAAAATTCACTCCCCAGATGTTCTGCTCAGACAGTTGTTTCTTTACCACTAGAATTCAAGCTGCGAAGGTGTTTTGGGAGGAGTTCTTGCTCCCTGAAATTAACCTTTTAAAACTTTGTTTGATCGCTTATTAGCCATGAGGGAAGAACCTGCCTGGAAGGAAGCCGTTACAGAAGACAGCAATGCCGTGACGGAGAGAGACGCTAGAATCCAGTGATGCCGTGTGAGCTTCCGGATCAGGCTAAAGCGAGACATACCCCTGGAATGTTACATGGCATTAGGAAAAAAAAAATTCCATTTTTTTGCTCACTTTCAGTTGGCTTTTCTGTCACGTGCAATTAAAATAATCCTGAAGGAGGCAGGCATTACTTGAATCCTTCTAACAGCTCCTCTAACAAGCTCGCTACAAGGTCAGGAGGCCAGAATTCAGTAAGCTTTTCCCAGTTGAATGTGCTTGTCCCTCACATGCGATATATGGTGGTTCTTTCAACGACGTTAAGAAGAATGTTTTCGGCATCATATTTCATTTTGTTCTGTACATTTTTAAAATATCATTAAATAGTTCTGTTTACAAAGAACGAAACTGAGAAAGTCTTATTTTACGTTCATTACATTTTGTTTCAAAATGACATCCTAACTTGACAGAGACTATGGAATTACGTGGCAGATTTTTGTTTCTATATTAAGTCTGATTGAGACCCTAGACAATTTTTATCACAAAAAGGTAAGAATTGATGGTGAGCATTCATCACTGCTCTTGTCTTCTGGTGACGTTGCAGGAAAGTGCCTTCATCTGGCTTCCTTTCATTCCTTTAGTCACTTGAAAAATATTTGTTGGGCATCTGTTATGTGCTGAGCACTGGGGATTGAGAGGGGAACAAGACTGACAAGGCCTCTGCCCCACGCAGCTCCTATCTAACAGGGGAGACAGATAATAAGCAAAGAAACAAATGTTTGGAAAGGTTCCTTTTAGGGAATCTAAGTCTATAAAAAAGTAGAAATAGTATTTGAGGGGACTGGGTGTTACTTTAGCTGGAGCAGTCATGGTGGATTTCTCTGAGGAGGTGGCATTTGAGCAGAGAACTGAAGCGTGGAAGGAGCAGCCACGTGGAGACATGAAGGATCAGCAAGTGTCACGGCCTCTGGGACACACAGGATTTCAAAACACCCCCTCTACTTCCACCAAAATAAGATGAACACACTCCAACTGAAAAACTCCAAGCCCAGATGGCTTCGCTGGTGAATTCTTTCGAATATTTAGGGAAGAAATCACACTAATCTTACGTAAACTCTTCCAGAGAATAGAGGAAATGAGAACACTTTCCAACTTGTTCAGGGAGGCCCTTATGATCTTGAATCCAAAACCTGGCAGGATCTTACGAGAAAAGAAATAGAACAACAACCCTAGTAAACATAACAGCAAAAATTCTAAGTAAAATGTTAGCAAACCAAATCCAGCAAAAGGATAATACACCATGGTTGAATGAGGATTTTTTTTTTTTTGCCAAAAACGCAAGGTTAAGTTAACATTAGAAAAATAATGCAATTCTCACACTTACAGCATAAATGAGAAAAAAATAACTGTTTATCTTAATGGATGCAAAAAAAAGCATTTTACACAATTCAACACTCACTATGGTAAAAATTTTTAACAAACTATGAATAGAGGGGAACTTAATGAGATACAGGGGAGCTGCAAATCCTTCCTCAAACATCACACTTGATGAAATAGAAATAGGTCCCCTGAGGTCAAAAATGAGAAAAAGATGTCAAATATTGCCATTTATGTTTGACACTGTACTAGAGAACTTAGCCAGTGCAACACGGCAAGAAAGAGAAATAATAGGTATGAAGATTAGTAAGGAAACAGAAAACTGTCACCACAGACAGGTGATATGACCACATGGAAGCAAATCCAGAATAACCTGCAAATAAAATATGAAAATTAATCAACAATTTGGCAAGTTTGTAAAATACCTGCTTGATATATGAAAGTTAATTGTATTTCTATGTATTAGCAAAAATAATTAGAAAAATGTTTAATGTTAGCATAAAAATAATGTAACTGGAATACACTTCACAAAAAGATGTGCAAGATCTGGACACTAAAATCTACAAGGCATTAACGACAGAAACAAGACGTAAATAAATGTAGGGATATATCATGTTCTTGGATTGAAGATATAATATAAAAATGTCAGTTCTCCCCAAAGTGATCTACAGATTCAAAGCACTTCCAATCATAATCCTGGGAAATTTTGTGTGTATGTGTGTGTGTGTGTGTGTGTGTGTGTGTATGAGAGAGAGGAAGATTGTCCCTGAGCTAACATCTGTGCCAATCTTCCTCTGTTTCATGTGGGATGCTGCCACAGCATGGCTTGATGAGGAGTGCTTGGTCTGTGCCCAGATCTGAACCCACGAATCCCAGGCCACTGAAGCAGAGCATGGGAGCTGACAACTATGCCACCAGGCCAGCCCCTCTAGCAAATTTTTTAATGGAGATTACCAAGCTGATTCTAAAATTTATCTGAAAATGCAAAAGATCAAGAATATTCCTTCTAGACATTCTTAAAGAAGATAAACAAAGTGGGAGGGGGACTTATACTTCCAAATATCAAGAGTTACTTAAAGCTATAATAACTAGAAAAGAATCAGCACAAGGATAGATGAATAGACCAATGAAACAGAATAGAGAGTCCAGAAACAGACCTAGACTTATATGGTGACCTGATTTTTGGCCAAAAAAGACATTCATCCGTATCTCATACCATAGACCAAAAATAAATTCCAGAGGGATGATAGACCTGAATGTGAAAAGAAAGCACAACAAAGCTTCTAAAAGATAAGACAGTATAATTCATGATCTGGGGGTTGGAAAACATTCTTAAATAAGACACAACAATCATTAACCATAAGGAAAAGACTGATAAATTAGACACCATTGAGAGAGTGAAAAGAAAAACACTGGAAGAAATTTGCAACACATTTTCTAACTAAGACTTATATCCAGAATATATAAAGAACTCCTCTAAATCAATAAGAAAAAGACAGATAACTCAATTAGAAATGGGCAAAAGACTTGAATAAGTATTTCCCAAAAGGGATATCTATAATGGTTAATTTAATGTATCCACTTGACTGCACCACAGAGTGCCCAGATGTTTGGTCAAACATTATTCTAGGTGTGTCAGTGAGGGTGTCTCTGGATGAGACTGACATTTGAATCAGTAGACTGAGTAAAACAAATTGTCCTCCTTAATGTGGATAAGCCCCACCACGCAGAGGAAGGCCTACACTGAACAGAAAGGCTGAGTAAGAGAGAATCCCTTCTGCCTGACCACCTTCAGGCTGGGACACTGGTTTTTCTTGCATTCCAACACAAGCTGAAACATCAGCTTTTCTTGGGCCCAGAGCCTGTTGCACTGGGCTGAAACTACTGCAAGCTCTCCTGGGCCTCCAGCATGACTTTTCTGGAGAAATCTAACTAGAAAAACTTCAAAATAGCAAAAAGTATATGGAAGGTGCTTAATATAATTAGTCATAGGGTAACGAAAATTAAATCCACAATGAAAAAGCACTGCTCATCCACCAGGCCAGAATGACTACATTTTTCATGAAGTACAATTTCTTTCCCCAAAAATGCACCTGTTCTAAAAGTACATTTAGATGTATTTAATAAATATATGGGGGTCAGCCCAGTGGCACAGCAGTTAAGTTCGCATGTTCCACTTTGGTGGCCTGGGGTTCGCCAGTTCGGATCCCGGGTGTGGACATGGCACCGCTTGGCAAGCCATGCTGTGGTAGGCATCCCACGTATAAAGTAGAGGAAGATGGGCACAGATGTTAGCTCAGGGCCAGTCTTCCTCAGCAAAAAAAGAGGAGGATTGGCAGCAGATGTTAGCTCAGGGCTAATCTTCCTCAAAAAAAATATAATAAAAGAAATAGAGAAATATATGACCAGTACCACAATCAAGATACAGAACATTTCTATCATCCGAAAAGGTTTCCTCACATCCTTGTGCAGTCAATCTCCTCTCTAATCCCAAAACACATCCCAGGAAACCACTGATCTTCTTTCTGACACTGTAACTTAGTTTTGCCTGTTCTAGAACTTCATCTAAATAGAATCATACCATATTTTTTGTGTATGGCTTCTTTAGCTTAGCATGTTTTTTATATTCATCCAGGTTGATACCTGTACTGGTAGTTCATTCCTTCTAATTGATAAGTAGTATTCATTGTATAGATAAACCACATTTTATTTATCCATTCATCTTGATGAATGTTTGGGTTATTTCCAGTTTGGGGCTGTTAAGAATAAAGATGATAGGAACATTCTTGTACAAGTTTTTGTGTGAACGTATGTTTTCATTTCTCTTGTGTAAATACCTAGGAATGGAATTTCTGGTCATATGGTATTTTTATATTTAACTTTATAAGAAACTTCCAAATTATTTTCCAAAATGGTTGTACCATGTTACGTTTCCACCAGCAATGTATAAAGTTCCTGCTGCTCCAGTCTTCACTAACACTTTTTATTGTCAATTTTTTTCTTTGTTTGAGCACCTCTAATAGATGTATAGAGCATCTCATTGTGGTTTTAATTTTCATTTCCCTGACAATTAATGATATTTGTAAAATGGCTACATTTAAAAGTTGACAAGTGTTCAAAAGATTGTAGAGTGAGGATTCTGGGAAGATGACAGAGCAGGAAACATCAGGAATCTGTCTCCCCACTAGACAAGAATTGCACTGGCAGAATCTGTATGATGTAACTATTTTGGGACTGTGGAGTCTATCGAAGCCTGGGAATTCCAGAGGAAGACTTGAGCAGTAAATTGAAGTTAACTTCAGTCAGTTTCAGCTCAAATACCCATCACCCCCACACATGTGGCAGACAGCCGTGCACATATTCTTAGAGCAGCTTATGCACAGTTGCAGGAGCCAGGGTGGGCAAAAATAACCTTGTCCTCCAAATGTTAAGAATCTATACTCTGATCACTGATTGCTGCTTCTGATCTCAGAGATGCAGACAAAGAGAAGGGCAGCGATTGTTCTTGCACCTTCCCTCATTGTTGAAAGCCCCTCCACCTCAGCAGAAGTGACTTCCAGGGGATTTAAAAGCCAGTGCCCTATTTTCCCTCTTTCACTTTTCTCTTTTTCCCCTGTTGGGAGTCAGACATTAAAGACTAGGGTATTCAAAAACAACTACATACATGGGTAAAATTAGAAAGTGACCACGTGTGCCCAAGGACAGGCACAGGCTCAGAAAAGATCTGAGAAGACCTTTATTTTATGTCTCAGGCTGATCCTTGGCACACATACAGCCTACAAGAATCAAAACAACAAACACAGTAAACAAAAGCAATAACAAAAACCAGCAAGCCCTAGGGGAAAGGAAAGAATCTGATTTCCAGAATAACATGTTATTAGATTCAAGTGTCTAGTTTACAACAAAAAGAAATCACAAAGCATACAAAGAAAAGAAACAGAAAAGTATGGCCTATTCAAAGGGGAAAAAATCAAAAGAAATTGTCCCTGAGAAAAAGGCTGGTGGCA